ATGGCACCTGGAGATCTTAAAGCATATAATGAATCAACTGAATGTTGGATTTGCAAAAAACCTTTTCTCAAGCCATCTTCAGAAGCATTGCAAAAATTCGAAGAAGCTAAACACAGATTATTAGAAATTATTGAATGGGAAGCAAGCATGGGAGAAGACCACCCAGAAAAGAAAAAGATACAAAAAGAATACCGAGAAGCTTTAAGTGGACTTAATCGTAAGATAAAAGATCATGATCATATAAGTGGGAAGTACCGAGGTCCAGCTCATGATGCTTGTAACAAAAAGTTACGAATAGGATCATTTGAGACAAAAGTACCTTTGATCTGCCATAATTTCCGGGGATATGACTCTCATCCACTCATGAAAGTTGTGAGCAAATTTACAGCTGATAAGTTAAAATGCATCCCAGAAAATATTGGCAAATATAAAGCTATGGATGTGGGTCAACTTCGATTCTTAGATAGCTTTCAACATATGGGAATGGGTCTAGATAAATTAGTAGAATGCCTAGGAGGAAAGCTCGAAAAATTTCCCTTAACTGTCAAGTACTTTACAGAGAAAGGCTACTCAATAGAAAAGATCAAGCTTCTACTCCGAAAAGGGATTTTCCCATATGATTGGACAAACTCATGGGACAAGTTTGATAAAACAAGCCTTCCACCTAGAAAGGATTTCTATTCACTACTAAGCCAGCATAATATAAGCAAGGAAGACTATAAACATGCACAAAAAGTTTGGCAAGAATTTGAGATGAAGAATTTTGGAGAATATCATGATCTATACCTTGAAACAGATGTACTTTTGCTTGCTGATGTATTCATGAATTATACTATTATGTGCTTACAGGATGATGGTTTAGATCCTTCTCATTATGTCTCTGCATCTGGAATGTTTAATGATTCATTATACAAGAGCAGTGGAGCTGAACTTAAGCTTATGACAGATATGGATGACTATCTAACAGTAGAGAATGGTATTCGTGGAGGCATGACAATGGTAAGTCATCGATATGCTAAGGCTAATAATCCAAAATGTTCTGACTATAATCCTAGTAAGCCAAAGTCCTGGATCATGTATGAAGATATGAATGCTTTATATTCAGGTGCAATGACCCAATATATGCCTACAGAGATTTTGGGCAAGATAAGTCCAGAAGAAGTTCCCGATATTCAAAGCATTACACCAGATGCAGAAATAGGTTATACATTAGAAGTTGATTTAGAGGTCCCAGTGCATTTACATGATTTCTTCGCAGATTATCCTCTAGCACCAGAAAAGCAGATAGTACCAGAAAACTGGCTTAGCCTATATAACAAAAGATTAGTGAATGATAAAGAAGTTGGAAATGGAAAATATGTATCCGGAGAGAAGTTACTTCAGACTCTTTATGTTAAGAAGAATTATGTAGTACATTATCGAGCTCTTCAGACATACATGAA